AAGTTACTTACTTCCGGGTTCGGCGACCAACCGGTTCGCAGGGACCGCCGCGAACCGGTTGAAACCCACCCCTGAACTCGTCCTTGACTTACCTACCTTTCATTTAGTGATCAAAGTTGCAATTGCACTGAAAAAAGTGACTTTTGGCTGTTTTTTTTATGTTTACGACCTTTTCTGCATCCCTGTGATCAAAATTCAGGATGCTTGGTGACTGGTTCATATTTACGACGGTCACAGTGTCCCAGGGTCATGTGATCCCCCCTTTTGTGATCTTCTGACCAGCAAAGTCCATGAAGAAGCCAGATTCGCAACTGAACTAAACTGCAGTGATTCACTTAACAAACGTGGGAAGGAAGGGTATAAAATGGAGCATGATTCACTTAACAGCTGTCTCACTTAGCCATGGAAATTTGGGGCTCAGTTGTGGTCATAAGTTGAGGACAGCCTATATTTTCTACGTTGAAAAAGTTCACCATTAGTTTGACAACAAAGGAAGCCTGTGTCCTCCCCCCCTCCTCTTCTGGGACCTTCCCTACCTTCCCTCTTTCCCATCCTCTAATGCACTTCTCCCTTCTTTCTTAGAACAATTCGACTACACTATGTGGCATATTCCAATTGCTCTCATGCTGGCATCTTAATCATCCAGAATTTCCCTTTGGCCGGCTGGAGAGAAACACGAAACAGCTGGGGGCAAAACAGGGCTTCCTCTGCAGGATGTCTTGTAAAGATGGAGGGGAAGAAATGGGGCCCTTCCTTGGGAAAAGGGGAAGGAGGATGGGGACAAGAGGGAAAAGGCACTGGAGAGAAAAAAATGTGTCACTGGTATCTGTGTGAGTGTGTGCGTTTGTTTGTGATGTGTCTGTGTAAGAGAGTAGGGATAACATTTGGTCATCTCTTCTATCATCCATCCATTCACTCACTATGTTGTATCTATCTATCTATCATCTATCTATCTATCTATCTATCTATCTATCTATCTATCTATCTATCTATCTATCTATCTATCTATCTATCTATCTA